CTAAATCCTGCCAGTATTTTTAGTTTTTTGTAATTGCCAACTTATTGTAAATTTTAGTATCTTTAGCAGTCCTATGTGGAAAATGTTAATTTGCATAAATGATAATACATTATTCATTGTCCAATTGAACCTTAGCAGGAATTAGGTTTAAAGATATGAATATTCATTAATATGCTATTAAATTCTGTTTAAAATAACTACTTGTTTAATGTATATCCAAGAATTTGGTCCTAAATTTATTTAAACAATTATATCAGTTATAGTTGTAGCAAAACAAAATCTGATAGACATATTTGGTTGGTTTTCAAATTCAACTGTGCTTGTTCAGTTTTGATTGAGAAATTTATCTGCCCTTTTTTATTGTGCAATTTGTCATGCGTAGGCTTTTTTCGAAAGGTCCTTGATCCCAGGTCTGTAATCAGAAGATCCCTGTGCTTTATTTTAACGACCCACTGGGCTGAAAAGTAATCCCCAAATCTTAGGTGTATCTGAACCTGCCAAATTAAGTGAAAAATTAAAGATGAGATTTATGATTGACGAAAGGATTCTAATATTCCAAGTTGTATTCTTGTAATTGTTGGAGAGTACAGTATTTGTAAAAAAAAATCTTTTTGTGCTCAATAATTTGTAGGTAAACATTAAATTCTGAAATTATATTTAAACATTATATTTCATAAAAACATAACTAGAAGATGAAGTGTGGACATTATTAATATAATTACATTCTGTCTATGAAATGTTGTATTAACTCATTTTATGTTGTATTTTATTATGTAGTATTTTGCATAATATATAATCGTATAATTATATTTTCAATAAAAATTAAATATGTATATAAGAATAAACTAAATTTTATATAGCTTAGCTCTTTATTAGATATATAATATATAAAGAATATATAAATATGCTTAATATATATTAGAAACTTAAATAGTAATATACAAGGAATTTTTCATTGAAGCGCTATGCTTGATATGATTATAACTGTTGTTGTTTATCTATTTGTATTGTTTTTACAGTACTATGCGTCAAACTTAACTTGAATATTAATTAATATATATTATACTTATTTATAGGATATAGTGCATAATGTATTTGTATGCATTTATTTTTCAAAACAACAATGATGTAGGAAATGATGGCTGGATGTTGAGTAACAGAATCAATAATATTTGTCTACATAGTTTCCTTTCTTTATTTTACTATCAACATTGTAAACACCATAAATTAAGCATACTTAATAATGAAACATAATTTTGAAGCAAATAGTCTACACAGTAAACCTTTCAAATATAGAATTTATTGCTTCTTACAGTATTTTAGCTTAGCAAAAACATTCTTAAATAAAGTATTTCTTGGTATCCTAACTAATAAAACAAATTGTAGTTTGTATACTTGAAAATAATAGTACTCTAATTATAATCCTAACAAATTATGGTATAATAAAACAAATTATAGTTTATATACTTAAAATAATACTATAATTATTATAATAATATGTTAGACTCACATGTTCAATTCAATAAAACATATAGCGTATTCATTCATTCATTCATAATGGTATATTAATAAAATCACGGAAAAACTAAATTGTGATAATTTTTTATATAAAATCAGTTAAGAATCAACAAAATTTTAGAAGTGGTGAAAAGATAAGTTAAAAAACAGACATTGGAAATAAAATAGTGCACATATCATATAAATACATCAAAAGCAACAAAGATAAAAGAGACCAAATGTCCATAAATGTGCAGTGGATATAACATTTTTATAAATGTTATATAAATACTATTGTCATTATTATTATATTTATTATTATTTTTTAAAATATTATGTATAAAATTATCCTTTATTAGCTTATAACTAAGCAATTTTAATGTAATGTCTGCTTGTATAATATTGAAATTTTTTATATAAAAGTAGTGTAGTTTGGGCATTTCACAGTGGAGCTTGTAGTAGAAAACTTTGTGACTTGATTTGATCATGTTGAAAGTAAGTGACTATGACAGGGGTGCGAACAAACCCCAAGATTTCCAGCACGTGTGTAATTAAGCATAAGGGTGCCCAACCTGTTTTGTCTAAATGCATGTTCTGTAAAACTGTATTTGATCATTTGAAAGCAATGCAGTCAAGGGTAAAAAGTGCCAAAATGTGTTAACAAAACTCTGGTTTATCGGAAAATTCCCTGAAGCCCTTTAGAAGCGTGTCTCGCACCTCAATACCTTTGTAAAATACCTTTTTGAGTATGGTCCCTACAGTCTCTCATTTCCTCTAGCTTTCTTGTTAACCACTTAAGCTGAACAATTGTGATTTGTGCAGTGCCCAACTAAAAATCTAAATAAAAGGTGATTATTGGCTGATGATAATAACTGGTTTGAGTTCAAGACAATCTATATTCATTGGATTTGTCTTACACAAAAGATGGGATTATAATAAGATAAATATCATTGTGATATCATATATCAAGTTATGATTTGTATGCTGGCCAGCTAGGTTGTTTCTGTTCTTTTTTGATATACACTGAATTAGATTATAATCATTTTTACTGTTTTTCTACTTGCGCCAATTATAAACTCGATCGAATACATTTCTTATTTAGTAATCCATTAAGATATGATAAAATAAAAAATAAATAAATAAATTTTTAAAAAAATAAAATGAAAATAAAATTTCCTAAATTCTTTTTACATAAACCCAATAAGCTGAGATAAGTTTTTATAGTAAAATATCAGTGAATCAATTAGAACACTTCTTTTTTAACCTGTGCAAGGGACCCAAGTTGAAAGAAGCCTCTTCTAGGAGATCTGGTTAAATGAAATTTCTTAAAAAACTTCCATTATGCTGCATATAGTGATACTCAACGGCACTGACTTTTGTGAGACAGCTAATAAGGAGGCAGTGAAAACATGCAAAATTATGAATTTGGGGAGATGAAGAATTTGATTTGGAGAATTTTGCTTGCTTACGGGAGGACATCCCGATTTGCGGGAGACTCTTGTGAGTTGTAGGAGACTTGCAACCCCTGCCTGTGTACCATTGACTGATAACTTTTCTGATTCAAGATTCAAGAATATTTTATTGTCAAAAATACTGAATTTCTGTTTGGGTGCAACCATTTCAATACATACAGGTCCCCTTATTTTATCAGACTTTGTCAAATTTCTGGTGAATCTTTTTCCTGTGGTAGGCCTATGCTGATTACTAAAGATGTGTTTCTGTAACTAGTATCCAGAAAACAATTTGACTGTATAAGAAAAATTAGTGTGCACTTGTGTAAGGGTGTCGATCTTTTTGTGATAAACAAAGTCTATAGAGGGCGTTATAGTAAACAATCATTATAATGGTAAATAATTGAGATCTGGAGGCTAATTTTTGTTGATTAGTTGATATTCAGCAAGGTATTTTATTTAGGTGAAAATTGTTTGTAGGCCAAACGTTTGGTTGTGTATATTTCTTTTAGTGTGGAAGGAATAATTATAGAAAACATGTGTTCTTGTATTGGCATTGATCCAAGAAATACCTAGCAAGGCTGGTACAAAAGAGCCCACATCATCATCACACATTTTTTTTCAATCTAATTATTTAACCAGGTATTACTAAACTCAACCACATCAAAAATGTGTATTGTTGTGAATAATTTTCGAAATAACGATCATCAATTCGTAGGTTTATTTAAGTCCACCTCGCAATTGATGGCAGAATTTGGTGGTGATGCTAATAGCTGACCCGGAAAGGCTTCTGAGTTTTCATAAAATTATTACCGGAGTGCCCTAACGGCTGTTGGGAATGGACTAGAGTAGTTTTATGAAACTGGCTTTAGACCACCTTTCAATTTTTCAATAGGCCAGGTACAAAGCTAGTTATAGTATTTGCTTGTATTAGAATGTCATATTGTACTAAGTATAAAACAAGTGGATGCCAAACGGTGCTACTACAGTACTGTAGTAGTAGTAGCTATTAATGCTTTTATACCTCTCAGTCAAAACATCCATCTTGTCTTTACTACTGACAGTTTATACCTCTCAGTCAAAATCCCAGTCTTGTCTCTACCAATACAACAGCAATTCCCAAATAGCATTTATGTTTTATTGTTATTGTTTGAAACATAGCTCAAAACATTCATCTCTAGGAGTTGTCTTAATAATTAAGGTATTGCCAACTTTTCATCATAAGGTCAATAGAAAGCACATTACTTACAGCAGTCTTACTGTCCAATGGACATACGATAGCACAAGATGAAACATCGACTGAATTCGTCATTACTTTACATCCAGTAGCTAAATACTAAATAGCTATCGTATAAACTAGGTAATAACCTTGTTTTCAGGCACATTATTATGCATTTCAGCATTTAATGCAAATCTTATTTTCTATTTAAAAGCAAAAAAAAAGCATAATACATTCCTGTCGGCTTCAAAACATGAACATCAACTGAAGCTCTAAACATGAGTTGAATACATTTAGTTTTTATTTATGGAAAAAAGAAGAGTAAAAGGTCAAAAGATTTCAGTGATCAACTCTTTAAAAACTGCTTGCAGACAAGATTTTGGAAATAATTATGTAATTCGCTCTTTCAATTTTTTTTTATAGTTGATCAAGTTGACCGACGAACTCAGCATAAATTGTCGGAGCAGAAGAGACGGGAAACTATAAAGAACTCGTTTGAAAACCTTAAGAAGGTGGTACCAGATTGTCAAAATTTAGCCGACCAAAACCAACAAAGTGTCCTACTTAAAGGTAAGTTCTACCCTTAATATTTGCTTACATCATTGTCCTAAAATATTAGAATCTTTTTTGGTCTTGCAGTGTATTATCTTGTGAATCATTATAACGTAATCAAACGATAATACTGTAAAAAATATTATCCTAATCTTCCACATCATTATTGTCATCAACAACATAAACATCTGCGTAAAATTAAAGTTATGGTCTTTATCCTGTCGCCTTTAATATAACTACACTGCTTTTCAACTGCATTGTATGTTTTTCATTAACTACTATTAGAAGACAAAACTAATCTCTTTAGTTTTTTTGATTTTGGATAATTATGTCGTCTTTTTATGTCAAATTACGTGGTAACATGTTGTTAAATCCACTTTAATTTTGCGAGTAAAATTCATAATTGTTAACACTGAATAGAGTGTGATTTTGGTGCTAGTTCCTATTTACATAAATTTAATTGTCATACGTCGGATACTATAATCCAAGATATACATCATCAATTAGGATTAAATTGTTCACAAACTTACTAAACATGCTACCATAGATTTAGTTTCACCTTAGTGATGTTACGCTAATAATGATAGGATATTCCTTAATGAGTGATGATATAAAAAGAAAAAAACAAAGAGCTTTTATCCCCCAATGGTTTGTTGTCCAATTGAATTTCCCAGCATTGTAATTAGTGTGCAATTTGCACGTATGGGTTTCATGACCTCCTTCTTCACCGTCTTGGATACCAAAATCGGGGAAAACTGAAAGCAAACTGAACCAGGGTCAGCTTAAGTTCGTGGAAACACTTCGCTGTAAGGAAGGCCCATCTCGGGTTGCTTTAGAATTCCAGCTGGCTCGAGTTTGTAAAGGTATTATTGGACTTGATACTCAGCCAAAATTTCAGCCAAACGGCAGAGTAGTTGGATTGGCAACAGAGAAGTTTGTTTTTTTATTTTTATTTTTTTTGTTTACCATATTGTTTCTTATTAGCAAAGAGGCAGTAGAACTGTGTGTGTAAAACACAGAATAACAGGGATCCCATATATAGCATTATAATAATTATAAAAATAAATAACAAACTTCAATAACATTATTTAGTCCAAACTCACAAACAAAATATTATGACTATTTATACAGTAGATAGAAACCAATGAATGCTTATTTTTGGAAGGTATTTTAATGTTAAACATTAAATTCATGGCAAAATGTATCCCTTCGTTTTGTGCTTTATACATTTGAATGTGTTGGAACCATTTTTCTATGTAACTATGTGATGTTTATGCAATCAGCATTTTAACAGTGGCGGCTCGGCCTCCCGCACTCAAGTAAGCAAGAATCTCCCCGGAAAACAACCGCTCTACCGTAAATTCACAATATTTGCAAGTTATTAATTCTCACAGAAGTCAGTGCCAATTAGTATCAAATAATAAATATTTTAAGGAAGTTTATTTAACCAGATGTCTTCCAACTTGAGACAACTGCAATAATAATAATATTTTGCTTTAGTATAATATTGTATCCATACATTTTTTTTTTTTTATAAGAACCAGTAACATTTTGCCCAGGCTTGGTGTTCTTATTTTTTGCCAATTTCAGGCTCAAAATGTTCTTACTTTGTTTTTAGTTTTACGCACTTAACAAATGTAGAACATTATTATTGTACAGCAGTATCTGTACTGCATTAAAAAGGATATTACATAGTAACACCTACTGCAATAAGGTATAGATAAGTTGTTGGTTGTTCTATTTTTTTTTTTTTTTTTTTTAATAAAAACCTCATTTGACATTTTAACTTAACCTCATTTTGTTCTTGTTTTCTTAATTTTTGGGCTACTTCAACCTCGGTGTTCCTATAAAATGTGTTCTTATAAATAATTAAAAAAAAGGTAGCATATTGGTACTCAGGCCAACCCATATTCTAGTAAATTTTGCAATCCACTTGAGATCTTTGGAGAGGTATTTCCTTTCAGTTCAGTGCTATTCACACTGGATATTGCTCTGCAGTGTGAACTCAACAACTATTACTGCCCCCTAGAGTTTACATGAACTTGAAACTGCCAAATTTCTCTGTTTATTCTACCACATTCCTGATGAATAGCCAAGGATAAAAAATTTACACTAATAATTGTGTCTTTAATCAGAAAATCTGCAAATAATTAATTAAGTCTTCATCATCAATGGCCAGTTTACCCTAGAGTAACACGTATCTGGCGCTGTGTGAGTATTGTAGCTGTGATTTTAGCCTGAGGTTTTATGACTTTTCGATGCATCAGCTGTCCATTATTACCCTGAAGAATGCTAGTAGAGCTATGATTGGATAGCTGTAATGCTGTCATATTATTAGTAGAGGGCTCAAAGCATATTCAATTTGATTCCCACAGAAATTTTGAAATCATTTTACAATATAATGATAAGGAATATTACTGTAATGAGAAATATATAAAGCACTGTCAAAATATAAATAGAAACATGCGTTATAGGGGTTAAGCTTTGGGCTTGTAAAAAATAAGTAGTGGCTTGTATCAGAATATATCCAATAGTGTGTCCTAGGGCAAGGCACTTTATTAACATCGTCTCTTTTTATCCAGGAGTATAAGTATAGTACCTGGTAGATTTTTAATATCAAATGTGATGACTGCATATGAGAGCTCGGCTAAGTATGTGTATCATAAGTCTTTGATCCAGTGGGCGGTGTTATAATGTGACAAACACAGAGGCATGTGATGTTTGTGCAATGGTTAGATCAAAAACCTATATTTCTAAGGGTGAAATTTAGTATAAAATGAGAATCATAACCAGTTTTTGCCAGTAGTCTGAGTAAACTCAAATGATGATGAATGTTCAATTCCTTAATTTGTACATATATTAAAATAATTTTATAAATAATTTGTATAGTAATAATAATGTGAATCTTAATTGAAATAACTAATAATTTTATAAATAATGTATTTTTAACGTTTTCGCAATTCAGTTCTGTGAACTGCCAGAAATGTTTTTTTTTAATGTATTTTGACTTTGTTTACGAATAAAAGATACCTTGATATATGATGGCAATTATTTTTATTATTATTCTTATTGAATGTTATTATTTGTATGGTTGTTATTTAGTATTATTTTCATATTCATATACAGTAGGCACAGATCTAGATTATATTAATTCATGGTTAATGTTAATAGCAATTACAGTGTAATTTATATGACAGCATCCTATCATAGGCCAGTACGCTACGGGTTCCATATTATTGGTGAATCAGTTCTCAAAATATATTTAATTTAATTTAATTCAGATAAATATGCTAAAGATTAAAAGTTATGCATTATACCACGCAAATTACGTGAGTCTATGTGCAAAAACAAGTGCCAAATTTTCAAATAATGGTGTTAAAGATGGCAATTAAGCAAGTCCATTCTCTCATAAGCCCTTTCAGACAGAGCTGCAAAACCGCAATATTGCGGTAAGCACGCCGGCCTGACTTTCTGTCTGATAGGGTTGATACGCCAGTAAGCTGGCTTACTTTAGACCCCCTTGCACCCTAGTAATATTTCTGCAATATTGCGGTAACGGTTACTGGCTTGCTCTGTCTGAAAGGGTCTACTCGATATTGCGCAATCAAGCCAGCGTGTGCATTTATGCATAAACACACAAGGTTAAAGTCAAAAACAATTGCGTGGTGGTATTTAAACCACCAATATTACGCCATTCTATCGGACCCTGCCAGACAGAAAAGCATAAGATTACCGCAATATTGCAGTAACAAAAGCACTTTGTGAAAGGGTATAGACTGATTATTATGCAGGCATGGTTACCGCAATATTGCAGCAAAGTCTATCTGAACATGAATGTATACCTCCATGATCTAAAAGGGGCTATAGACACACTTTTGGTTCCTAAATCAGCACTGTGATAAATTAAGCCAAATTGTCACATAGAAGTGATCACACTAAAGGACAAGTCATTCTATCAGGCAGATGGGTTAGATGTGTTCAATCAGCACTGTAATAAATAAACCAAATTTCACTTCATAGAGACAACAAAATCTAAGCAAAATCATTCTGTCATAGACAAATATTTTGATGTTATAGATGTGTTTCATCAGCACTGTAATAAATTAAACCAAATTGTCACATAATAGAGATGACAATAATATAATATAGGCAAAAACATACTCTCATTTTGATGAATTAGAATTCTTCCTAAACCAACACTGTAATTAATTGAATCGAAATATTAGCTAAGTCAAATATTTTGGTGGGTTTATGTGTTTAATCAGCATTATGATAAAGTCAACCAAATTGTCGTATAATGGAGGTGACAATAATTTAAAGGTAAAATCATCAGAACTGTGACAACATTAACCCAAATCGTCACACAATTGTGACATAGTTGGTGAATTAGATTAGATAGTTCCCTAAATCAAGTCATCACATACTGTAGTGATATACAATCCAACTAAGTTAAACTAGACATTCTGTCAGGGTGTTGATGGTTTAGACACGGTCCCTAAATCATTAGAAAGATTAAATCAGAATAGTATAATGATGATCAGATAATCGTGAGTTGTGGCATATGTGATATTTCATTCATAATCAGATTTCATGACCCATTAACTAAAATAGCATCCAACATCAAACTATTTCTTTTTATTATCAACTTGCGAAAGTGAACTTGAAAACTATGTCCGGGAGAGGGCGCAAACTAAATCTTTAGATATCGATCAATAATTTTAATTACCGTAGCTCATGAGCGATCTTGTTGACATATAACTTACACGGTAATTCTGATTCAATTCTGATTTGAATTTTAGCCTTTGGAATTACAGCTTTCTAAGAACCATAAATATAGTTGCATGCAATTTATTTAATTTAATGTTTACATCTTTTGATATTTAAAAAAAAGGGACAGGCAAGTCTATCACTGCAAGGTTTGAAATTGGTCATGAACAAAATGATATAAAATTGTTCATGTTGAAACTTTAATTATGACTACAAAAAGAAAAGTACTTTTATCATAAGCATTGCAAGTAATATTTGAAAGTTAAGGCATGACATATAGGTGAGGTGCCTATCTTCTGATTCCAAATCCTGGGATTAATCTTTGTATAGATTTAGATGTTTTTTCCTTCACAATCAAACCAACCTTACTTCTTATTGTGATACTTGATTATTAATTGAGGTGGGACTCAAACCCACAGCCTCCAGATAACTAACTTGGTATCTTAACCACTAGACCACCAAGCTTGAGCTTAGTGACTAGCCTAGTGTCGAATCAGACCTCCAAGTAAGTACAGTTGAAAAAATGTATGTTTGCATAATAGGGTAATGTTAAATGACTCAGGATATTGTATTTTCACCAAGCGTATAATTAAGAATGCTATCTTTTGAGAAAGAAATTGTATGTGTCTGTGGCCTTTTCTTCCACATTCACTTTTCACTTATATCTTGCCTTTATTAGTTAGGCCATGTAAAATAAAATAATTGGTTAGCATCCCCTCCCTACCATCATAAAGGCCACCGACCCAATTTAAAAAAAATTTTTTTTTTTACACAATACACTCACAAACTCAATTTAATATAGGTTTGTTTACCACCCGTCCACACACTAGCCAGTCCACTTGCAGTTCTATGCTCTACTGTTATTCTATAGGCCTATACTGTAGCCACCTATGGTATCCATGATGCCTGTTGTGTTGATGAGTGAATTGTGCATGATAATACATAAGAGATAATTGCATTATGACGCCGTTATTCATAGGTAAAGTTTCTGCTTGCTATAGATGCTTGTATGTAATTTTGGTCTCTGTTGTTTTATTCTTCTTTTTTTGCTGTTTTTTTTTTGCGAAACTCTTTTTTCATGTTCGATGCAAAAAAAAAAAAAAAAAAAAGCCTCCCTCCCTACCATGAAAATTGATAACATAAGGATGCTAACCAATTGTTTTATTTTACATGGCCTTATGTTACTCTGTATATTTCTGTTTTTTTTTTTTATTGGCCCAACAAATGATAACAGTAATAACATAATACAAATATATATTTGACTATTCATAGTTTTGTGATAATTAATAAAAAGCAATATACAGACATCATTATTGAAACTTTTTTATCTTTTGCCTATTTCTTATTTATAGAACGATTATTAAAGCTTTACTTCAATTTGTTGACCAATTTTCCAATTACGTTTAATAGAATATTAAGATTTAGCATTGATATGTTGAGCTAATTTGTTAACGAAAAGTCACTGAGTCATCAATACATCTTGGATGTTGTTGAATCCGCAAGGAAGCTGCACAACTATACTTACTTGTTTCATCATTGGCTTTTATATTTCATTTTCAGACAGATTTTTTTTCTTTTAATTACCTGAAATTGAATTGCTAGATTCTAAGAACCATAGATCCATTTGCTTGTTGCTAGCTTACTGACCTGGAAGCTAATGGCATACACATTTTAGCGGATGCCTCACAACTTCAGAATGATTGTATTTTTGTTGCGTACACTCTAAAATTTAGTGGACCACACACAAATAGTGAAGTTACTTCACGGTATATCAACCAAATATGTTTTGAGAAAACCATCATTAAGTCAGTTACTAAATATAATTATTGTGTTCGTTTTTTTTTTTTTAATTATTTAATTAAACTTTTCAGTTAGATTGATTGATTGGTATTTGGCAGAATTTTCCTTCAGTAACCCATATTTCATGAGCTACAAAAATCTTGAAGTGGTCAAGGTGCCAATTTCTTCACCGTTTTGGCTGCCAGCATAAAATCCAGAATTCTGACAAATGTATGATTTTGCCACAGCTGGTTGTATGTTACCCAAATGCATGTAATCAACATGTTTATTGTCTCGACTTTTTTAGCATCCTATTTTTTCTTTCACTACTCACAGAGTCACTGTACTGTCATATATCTATCCCTATACCGTGAACATAATGTCCATGTCTTTACTAAGCTTAAAATGCAGGATACCCATTTAGGCCTACTTATGAGGATGTTGACATTTTGGCAGGATTATCTTGATGTTTTTTCTTTATGAAGTATAGAGAGAAAAAAAGGAAGTGTCCCTAAAAAGAGGTTGAAACAAATTTTCTTTTTTATTTGTACTATACAAACCATAATATGACCTTCTTTTACCTCTGTATTACACTCTATTTGCAGGTTCTACTTCGGTGTAAAGCTACAAGAAAATAGGGGTTTATGGAGCAACAAAAGGGGACTTAACACCCCTTGATAAACCACTGAGACTAAAGCTCTCATCCAATAAGTTGCAGCATTGAAAGCTTGTAATGCCTGCCTGTAAGACACGACTTTTGCCTGTCAAGGGTAAAAGTTTAATGACCTTTCAGTCACTGCTAGACTTATTCATCCCATAACTTAGAGCAGTAATTCTCAATTACCTGAAGAATTAGGCTTAAATATTGAAGACGAATCTCACATTAAGCTCCCCTCAATCCATAGCAAATACGCATACATGACTCAAAGGAAACCCATGTAAAATGATTTTCCTATACACTGCACAGAGTCCACTGATAACCACATGCTGTGCGCTCTCTTTATTGGTCAGTGAATAAAATGAGGATACTATTAATCAGAGGATGTTTCATTCCATCAGGCATAGAAGGATGGATGTGGCCTTTGTGGGCCTGAAATTAATTATGCTGTTAACTTCTTGTTCATACCAGTGACATAATCCACCACGCTTTCCTAGTTCCTGTCCAATTCTGCAAGTTATTTTTCCTGTTTTGTTTGTGTCAATAAATTTAAAGAAACAAAAGTGTTAAATATGAATTTGATTTCAGTTTAATAAAGTAAGCCCTATTATGCAAAGTAACATGGCCTGGCCTGGCCTAGTTGTTTGTAACCCAAATCTTCATCAAATTCAAGAAACCCTTGCTAGCTAACAGTTCTTCTTGTGCTTTACTCTACAAAAACTAGCCATTTTAGGCATGTCCATAATAAATTGTTATGTTTAGTCATCGATTATGTTGCATTTCTTTATTGAATAAAGGTTTTTTTTAAGATAACATGGTTATTTACGGTAGAGTAGTTTAGCTGAAATCATGACATGTATTTTTACGAACAATTTTTTGCAAATATATCTGGGTAGCACCATGATTTTTTTATCTGAAGAAAAAAGAAACATGAACAAATATTTTCTGATTGGAATTAATGTTGGCGATGCAGTTGGTCCAATGTTGATTGTTTCAATTTAACTTGATGTATTTTTTTGAAATAGAAAAGATACAGAGCCTACTTACGAACTACAGTCAGAAGACAAATTTGCGTGTGTGCAGTAAAGTAGAACACTCACTCGAGGGCCCATCATTTAGCTAAACAGCGTAATGATGGAGGATGCATAGATTTAAAATGCACTGTTTAGACGCCATCAACGTGATAATCATTATGAGCTGTAGACAAATAAGTCTTCATTCTTCGATTATTAAGACTGATGAACGAATATTTGGTCAAACTTTTCAGTGTAATCAAAGAAATAATATACTCTTTTTCCTGAAAATTATTGGAGATTGAGAGAATTCTGGTCAGAATGTTTATATCATTTGGAAAATTTTATGGATATTTGGCTGTGAGGAATTTTAATTCTAGACAGAAGTCTTAGCTTAAGTTGTTGCATGTATTTGGAAACACTACTTATGTTCCTGTTTCTAACCTATCAGAAGTGTAATTTTACATTTGTTATCATTATTATTCCTATGTTCCTAAATCATTTTCACTTTCATAGCTTTAACAATTTTCCTGTCTAGAAGAAGTTTAGATGGGAAAAAAAGAAATTGGGTTTGCCTAAGATGATTTTTTTGTTTTTCAATGCAAAAATAATTCTTCAAAAATTATCTATTATTACACAAACCAGGTGAATTTATTCCAATACTGGTAATGTTTCAATTTTTTAACATATACTTTCTAGACCAACATATTTAATCAAAAAAGAAATTTTTGCATGCAGAGTGACATAATTAGAGAAGATTAAAGTATAAACACTACAGACATCATAGAATATTAATAAACAGTCTGATTATTAATAGTAAATAAACAAACACATAGAATGTCATATATCGGAAACACATAATGTTTGATAGCAGACTCAAAACATTAAATTGATGTGATTCAATGTGATACACATCCACTTTGTCTGATGTGACATTCAGCTTGATGTGTTTCTTGAAACGTTGCGTCAGACATGTGACCATATATGTTACTTGACACGCAAAAGTCCTGTTCTTCCGAACACGATCTCTGAACTGGAAAACTTGTTAAAACGGTTGTAACGTCATCAGTTGTCCCTATTGGTTTAGTCTCCAATAGTAGGAGGTACCATTTTCTAACTTGTCAAATATTGGACTTAAGGTGCCGTGCTTTATCCCACAATGGCTAAAATTATAGAAACTGGGTCAATTATAACTGACTGGTTCAATTAGGGTGATGCCAATGGTGTTATTTCAATGTTCTTTCATTTTTACTGACTCTATTTATAAATGTTCATATTTGTTATATAAAATAAAAATATGTTTTCAATTATACATAATTTCAATCATACTGATTTTTTTTTATCTAATCCAAAATAGAAAAGCTTTTTTTATGTTGTTGTTATTATGCTTCTTATCATTTGTGTTATGTCATCAAATAGAACTAAGGCTATAATTCTTTGTGAATAAATATATCTTTGAAAAAAATTAGTACATTTAAATTTGCACTTGTGCTGTTTCAAATATCTTTTTTTTTTGGGATTTTATTTAATAATGTGTTCCTTTTTAATAGAATTTTTATATTTTCACAATTTAAATCAATGCTCTATTTTTGTTTTTCTCTTGCAGCTCAGACTTACATTGTTGATATGATAGACAAACAACATCGCCAGAAATTGGTGAGTACCTCACACACACATCACTAGTTTGAGGGCAGTATTGTCATATGTGGTGGGTGGGGAGATAAGCTGAAAAATGATTTGTTATTTTCTTTTTCAATATTGAAATCAAAGACCAAAGCATTCATTTTTTTTAGGTTCTACTGCTCATTTTTTTTTTAATTCTTGAGCTTTAAATTTCTTAAAATAAATTGAATGTAGGCATTATTTGTCCTTTTTAAAGCAATATCCAGATTCCTTTCATGTCAACTTATTACCAACACATCACCTTCAGACTTTAATACATTAAATAGTGCCTCAGTCTGGACACCAGATAGATAAGGCATCTCCAGGGTCTTTAGAATTCTGGTTTTAGAAAGTCCCTTCCCCTCCTGGGGACCTCTCCTGCTATCTGCACTACTCCTGGACAGCTGGCCAAGGCGATGATATCTGAGTGAATACATCTATCTGTCTATCCCCTACTGGATACAGTTAACCAGATGGCTTCTTAGGTGACCTAGCAGTCATTATTAGTACCAAGTGACTTCTTAAACAGACTTTCTTGGACCAATCTCCATGGGGCTGAAACCCTGTCAACAGTAAAATAGAAATCTAAACGCTTGTACTTGTTCAAGAGCATGATTTTTCGTGTCATTTGAGTTCCCTTATGTAAACTTAGTTGTAACAAATATTGTAACCGTTTAACAAGTCTACCAAATTTGAAGTATTTACTCTCTCATCATTAGTCTTAAAAATCAAGTAATTTATTTTCCTTGTCCATGACTCATACTTTTCCTGATCCATTTTTAAGAAACAACCCATTTTTTAAAATTTACTGATATGAAAATATAAATACTTTGATGTGGAACAAAGTAATGTTTTAGGACTTTCACATGAGTGCAAAGATAGGCCTACATACACATAAATTGCCAGTAGAAAATCGTTGATATTGTAATTTGGTAAATTGGCGCTTTTTTCCTTAGGCACTTTAGCATTTTACATGCGTTCGCACTGGGGTATAGAGATCATCTTGTTGCCCTGAGTTGTTCCATATTTCTACATAGTAGATTGCAAACACTTATTTCAAATTTTGTCCTAATTTTTCTAATAGATTTTCCTAGAGTAAACTCTCAACCTTTGGGCATCTAAGGGAATCTACTTGCAACTTATATACTTCAATGCTTTCCTCGTGTCAATTTTGTATTCCTATCTTTATTAAGTGAAGCCAAATCTATTTAATCAGGACATCAGCACATCATCATACCCCCACAATAGGTAAGGGGAAGGTCCTTCATCTCCCTAGGACCATAAGATCTTGATTGCCAATTGCACCCCTTGGCAAAAAAAAATTCTGGATCTGCACCCAATTGGTCTAGTTGTAGAAACGATTAAACATAAGTTGGAAAGTGTATATGGTCTTATTGTGATTATCTTAATATGATATTAATAATTTTAGTTACTCGAAAATAATTATTAATTATTATAATTTTAGTTATGGATTTACTTAAAAGCAGCAACTTAATTCTGACTTTATTATTAGTGCCCTATACAACAAAATTTCACTTCATATGCTCTTAAAATCTGAATGGTTTTTACAGCATAATACTCGTTCCCTCTATGCAACTACTTTATATCTTTATTTTTTTTTAGTTTCATGATTTATTATATAAGCCTATTACATTTATAAAATTTCCACAAAAATTTAAAATATTTTAGTAAAATATATGTAAAATTAATTTGTAAGAAACAATTTGTAGGAATCAAGATGGTTTTAGTTTTCACAAACAAAAAAAACTAGTTACTATCTCTTAAGTAGGTCAAAAAACACTGAAAGTCAACCAAACAGTTTTTTTGCCAGGCAACTTGTTAAAGACATAATGCTGATAGGTATAAACATAGTTGCTAGGCAACAGACAGGCATTCGCTTTATAAAAATAACCAAAAAATGAGCTTAGTTGCTTGCCTGCTTGCTTACTAAGCCTAATGAAAGAAAATTATTAGCAAATTGTTACAATCTGTATTTTCGTCAGCGAAAGTTAACTAAATATATTGCCCGCACCGGTTCTGTGTGATTATGTTAATTTATTTGTAAAATGTGAAGGTCTAAATGCAAAACAGCTGAGTATAGCAAAGAGAAGGAAATTGGATAATAGTAAACTTCAGTAAAGTCAAAGAAAAGAGGAAAATAATATAAAGCCTCCCTGATTTATGAACAGGACATTCTCAATCAGGTTCTTCTATGAGTGGGTAGAGGTGTTTACCTGTAGGGAGAAAGGTTTGCTTTCGGTAATATCATTATCAATACCAAACAGAATCTAATTCCTCTGTCTAAAAAGGTTATGTCCGTGCCTTTGTGATTTTCATAGCATAATTTTAAACAACACGATACACAGGAATTGTGTTGCGGACGTTCAGCTAGCTAATTGTATGCTTTGCGTCAATGTTAGCAGTAAGAGTTTAGGGTTAATTTATGCTAGTGTAGTGCTGGTTGTCAGAGAAGGCTCTTTTTAATGTGTTTCATTACAAAAAATTGCTTATTTGCATGTGTTAAATAATTATAATAATGTAATCGTAATAAAGATTCAACATGGTATATGATTAATTATTATTTATTTTTTATTTAATTCAAATAAGTATATTATATTTTTAAATATTTTATTGTTTGTTTTAATATGTAATAGACCTTAATAAGTAATCAACATTAATTCTAACATATGATTATATTGATTTAATTTTATGTTATTCAATATATTTTATTGTTTTTTATATTTTTACTGAACAATACAGTATAAAATAATTTAATAACATATCCTAAACAACAGCATACAGATAATGAATTTTATGGTAATGGTAATGGCTGGAGACATATAGTGCATTATGCATGCATGCATGGTCTCTATGTGCTGAACAGAAAACAAAAATAACCAAAGACAGAGGAACTAACACTATTACACTGTTCACTTGCAGTTTGAAACCATTGACAAGCAATGTCACATTTTTAGTACTATTTAGATTTGTTTAATTTACACCTTTTAGCCTGCAGGCCACTGTGTGCTAAAAAAACAAATAATAATCCTATTTATCTAATTGCATTTCTCCTATTGTTGAGATAATTTTATAATTTTTTAAAAAGTTATGATGATTTAACAATTATGGTAGAATTTATAATCATTTGTGTCATTTATGTGATGTCAACAATGAACAACTTCTGAAAATAGTGTATTTCATGTGAATTTCAGATAGCGTATTTCATGTGAATTTCAGATAAAAAAACAAATTCATAAATATATAAACTACTTTTATTTTTCAGCGGGCTGATAATTTTGAGTGTTTGAAGTCAAGAAATAGACAGTTGGAACAGAACATCACCAGAATTCAACAGGAATATGAGATACTTAGGTAGGTTTATGTTTCATAACAATAATAATAATATTTATTTGGAAAACCCTTTTTTTAACAGTGGAACACATCACATCAATGCATCCACAGGAGATATAAAAAATCAAAATAATTTAAATCAATGAAATCTCAATAGCACAAAAAAGACAGTATGATCAGGAACAATTGAGAACAATCTGCCTGTTTAAACTTAATACAGATTTAATTCTCATTTCTAAACAATTTTCTATAACATATGTACTGTATTGATGTTACTTTAGCTTGGAGCAAAAGCCAGAATTTCCATTGGCTTTTGATAATACACAAAGTAGTGCATTCCTAGTGTTAATGTGCTTATACCTGTAATTGTGGTAGACATACTTGACAGTTCACTGTACATCACAGCCAATAGTGAAGAGAAATTTTGCAGGATGTTGCCATTTTCAGAAGAATGAATTAAGACTAAATTGATGAATATGGGATGGCTTTTTTAACAATATTTTAATTTAGAAGAGAAGTAATACGTAAAATCAAAGTCTACATGAGATAGCTTCTTTAAAGTCAGGCTCCGGAGGAAAAAAAAATTTTGATATGTTGTAGAACTGATTTTTCTAAGACAGAAAAAAGTTGTTTGACGAAAAACTGGGGAACGGTGAGTGAGATACAGATTTTTTAATATTTAAAAACTGGGGGAAAAGGGGGTATAACTGCCCATTTTTACACCTTATTCCCCAGTTTTTAAATATTAAAAAATCTGTATCTCATTCCCCGTTCCCCAGTTTTTCGTCAAACAACTTTTTTCTGTCTTAGAAAAATCAGTTCTACAACATATAAAAAAATTTTTTTCCTCCGGAGCCTGACTTTAAGGATGTTTAGAAGAAGAGACCTACCTTTGAATCAGAATGTGTAATATATGGATTAGTTTCTTGAGGGATATTTAGAAGAAATACCTACTTTTTGAATCAGAGTATTTATAATTAATTTACAGGCAACGATAATACATAGAGAGGTAGTGATAGATCGATGTACTGTACTCCTGAATTGATTGATTGGTTGATTAAAGACACCACTGATGCATTTATTTTGTTGGTTCAGGATTGTTTAATATTGTTAACAATTTACAGGTTTATCAATTAATTAAATCTGTCTTATTTTATTTATTGAACTTGTTATGGTTAATGAGTATTTGCCTGCCTGAATTATTTTTCAGTTATATGCTATTATTTTCTTGGGCTTTGCAAAATTTGTATTTAGGCTTACTGTATTTGACCTTGTAAAGGAGAATCTACTATTCTCTATCTCTGCACCCGCCATACAATCCCTTCCTTTCCAACACAACCCTTTGTTTTTTGTGAGATTGAGTGGCTGGTGGAGCTAAATACATAAGAGTTATTTCATTTTTCTATATGTTGTGCCTTGTACAATGTTTTGCATAAATACAAATTCAAGTCTGGATTTTTTATCATTGAGAATGGGGGTTACAAAGTTTCACTTGCATCACCTATTAACATATATCATCTAAGAATTCCAGTTGGGAAGTAATGGGAATAAAAATTCCAAATCCCCCAGCATCTCTCGTTACACCACTAATTTGGAAAATTGGACTTCAATTACCTCACCACATTTCTGGGCTGAAGGAGTCTTTCAGCAGTGCACCTCCCAAATTTTTAGTTTAAGGTGTATCAACTAATAATTACTAGCAAAAGCAAGATTTTAGCCACGTTGTTGATACTGTAGTTTCCATAGTGATCAGCCTCAGTAGAGTAGTATTTTTTCTGTGCCATACTTTGGTATGAATGCATGATGTTTTTTTCTTCACTGGTATCAGATAGTTACCCTTTAGTACCCTTTATCCTAGCTTGGAATGGTATTAATCTTTTAACATAACACATTTTTCTAAAGGAAATTTTGACCTGAAACACACATCTCCAGAAAAAAGTCTGGCAAGAGTTCTTAAAACGGCTGTTGTTGTCATGGTGATAGACACTAATTTGCAAGGTTTGCTGTGAAAAATCGAACACTGTCCCTGATTTGCCAGTTTCTCCTGGGATTTGTTAGGGAAAAGGGGACGCTGTTGTCATCCTTAGCCTCCACATCAGGTGCCGCGTACTGACAGATCCATGTAGGTCTTGCAGTTAACGACAGTGTATGAGAGCATTCGTACCAACATTTAGCTGGATTAAATTTCCTTATGTGCGGAAGTGTATGTGTGATGTTTTGATCATTTAAGCCTAATTTTAAATCAAGCACAAATGTGAATCTAAATATGTTGCATAAATTGCACGTCATTATATGCAGTTAAGTGGAGCACTCCCCCAGTATTCTACCCCGAATTGTGGGTCAGATTCGATAGGGCAATACCCCTCTCTGTCAGCTGTTACTGAAGACGTCTCACTGAAAGGGTCTAATAGTGAACGAGGGGTGATTGTGGGCCAAGTGTCTTCCCCTTATCATGGAAATTAGCACCCTTAGGGAATAGTAAGGGACATGTCGTCTCCAAACCATAAAGAGTGATAGGGTATGTAGTGATGATTTCACTTTCTTTGGCCTAATTGAATAATTTGCACCTTCGTCAGGTGGTGTGATGACAAGGAGTGGGGAAAATGTTCGACATACAAAAGCACATTTAAAAAACAAAGCACGTGATAATTAAATTAGTAATAAACGGTCATTCACTGCACGTAAAAAAAGGTCTTATTTTCACCCTATTTACTGATTATTCTCATACATAAACTTCTGATTCTAGAGAAATTGCATAAATTGTTGGAGACGTTAATTTATTTCTCCTCTTTAATGGCAATTTTTTATCTCTGTCTCAACAACTGATACCCGTTTCAGTTTAAGGGAACATTGGTTTGGAAGGATGTCAGGTTTAGATGTTGAATACTCCTGGAGGTCGTACATTCAGTTCATAATTTAAATTAATATAAAAATGTACAAAATGAATACAAATGCAAATGTACAAATGTATGATTGTTATACAGTACCAATGTGTAAAGTACTGTATGTAATAAAAATTCACAATTTTATAAAGCAAAATTATCATTATTAAATTAAAATAAAATTATATCAATGATATATGTCTATATAGAACTAAGAACTTGTGTCAAAATAAAATTATAATTATAACAAACATCATTATTTATATAGTAAATTTAGATGTTGAGTCAAATTCCATTTCAATATCTCTATCTTTAGATTAAATAGTAGGTTTTTTCACAAGAATAAAAATCATCTGTTATATCATTATTAGCAGCGAATTTATTTTTAAATTTCAACATGCAGACGTATTCTGCGACGCCCTAGGCCGTTCATTTCTAAGCGGTTTGCCGTAGAATACTTGGCAGGCGTAAGCAGGTTACACTAGGTTTTTCCTTCAAGATCTTCAACTAAATTACTTGCCTTCACTATAATATGCCTGTAGGTGCTTTTCAAATTTTTAATTTCCTTGCGAACCCAGCATTTGCCGTTACAGGCTTTTAAATTGCATAATTATATTACCCTGTGAGGATCTTCATTACTTGAATCATTTTGTTCTTGATGTGGAAACATCCATGTATGTATGGTACGTGGATTGTTTTGTACGGCAAATATTGTTACATGCCATTCAGCCTGTCAGACTACTACCGCTTAAATACCTCCCAGTCATTGTCATCATAGGAGTCTTCATTATCGCCTGCAATGACTTCGCTCACTGAAAATTTCATTGTATCTTCGTTGTTTTTTTAGTCATTCTAATCAACTTTGTTGCCGTAATCATCCATTTTATTTTGTTATCATAATCATCTCCCTTGTTATTTTCACCATTGTCATTATCTTCACTATACAGTAATTAGAAGAATAGCTCTGTGGTTAGGATGCTTGCTTTCCAAAACCCACAGTACTTTCAGAGGTATAATAAAAATGAATATTCCTGCATTTTTCTTTTTGGTTAATCCAGTTGTCAATTTGTTAAAGCTTCATAAGTAGACTTGACTTAATAGATCAGTGGTTCCCAAAAATAAAGAGACTTTCTTAATATAGCATAAAGGAATAAAATTTGGATTGTTAAATAGGGTTTAAAAAATAATAATATCAATATAATAATAATAATGATAATCATTTAATAATAACAGTACTTTATTCTTTCATTGTCATTATCATTATTATAATTATTATTTTCTATATGATCATTATTTTCTGTCATACCCTTAATATTCTACACATTTCGTTAGGGACTTAATGCCAATATACTGTCTTCAATTCCTGAATGTTTACTCAACAGAATTCTGACATCTTCATTTCAATCAAGAATCGACCTCAAACAAATTTACTTATTAATTGAATAATTACACATAATTTATGGAATTCTAAAGTCACAGGTAGACCAAAAGCATATGAAAGACGAGAATACCTTTGCATTATAGACGACTGAGTATTAGTGTCATCGACCTCCAAAGAAGATCATGGTGGAGGGTCAGGAAAGAAGTTGTAAATTAAATCATTTAGCTGCTGAATGGGTCAGTTTTTGGTCGCAAACTACTTCCGTTATCAGATTCAACAATTTCCCCTAGCAACAACTGTTCTGGCCTACATTTGCAGTCACCTTTACAGTGTAACAGTGTCAGTTATAGCAGTGTAAAATCAATTACCGTACTACATGAGAGATCCAAGTCGGCCAAACAGATTCCGAATTCCCCAGTGGTCAAAAAGGTCCATTTTCTCACTTTTCAGGACAGAAAATCTAGCGCAATGAATTCATTATAGTTCAATGATTTTCCATCAGACGTTGGGATGTACAGATAAATATTTTTCCTCTTTACTTGGGAGTTAGAGAGTTTATGCAAATCTAGGACATCGTAATAATTATGCTATATTAGTATGTTGCTCATGCTAGTGATTGTTTCGATATTGTACCGTATTTAATAACATGAACATTTAGACTATTATCTCATTCTGGATATTCACTGGCTCCCATAGGACTAAAGCATCCATCATATGGAGTTGAATGTACAGTTGCTGTTTTGTGCTATACTTCCTGT